AAGCTGCATAATAAAACCATTGAAGCCAATATTGAAAACTCCAAGATGCTCTGGTAAGTTTTTGAAGTTTAATTCTATTATTGCTGCAGATTTTTGTGGTTTCTATGTGTTGTTTTGCAGAATTTTTGTAGCTTTCAAGCTGGGTCTTTGTAGAAAGACTGGGCTGAACGAGTATCATTTGGTCTTTCCTTTTTGGACGCTTTTTCAGCGTCGCCTTAGATTGTATCTAGGCATTTTTGTAATTGATATAGATAGGGATAATTGGCTCTTAGGTTTTTATTTTTCTTTAAATTTTGTAGCTCTTTCGAGCGTTAGTGAGCTGATTGTTCCCTTAAGGACTTGTAATTTTGAATTATATCAACGCGTAGGCCCCACCGTGGATTTCCCCTAAAAAATTTTTTTTAAAAATAAATAAAAAAAATAGCTTGGAGTTACTCCTCAAAAAGATGCCGCATATTGGAAGAAAGAAATACCCCAGGCCCAAGTGGCTGCAAGGCCATCCAGAAAGCTAGAGTGGATGTGGCGCAAGGACCACCAGTGAAGGCACACATACTTGTGAAGAAGGAAGATCCCATCATATAAATATATATCTTGGTGTAAGAGAGTCAAGCTAGCCTGTGAGCTATCTCAGACTCCATTTGAGAAATGACTAGTGAGTTGAGTTCGATGAGTTAACTAGTCAAGTTTGAGCTAATGCTAACTCAAATTGTTAACTCGCTGGTCAACTCGTTTATAAAAAATAATAATATAAAATGGACTTGAAATATATTAACATTTAAAATTTTAGATACAAAATTGTTGAAAATATTTTATATTATTTTCTTATATTAAGTTATTATTTTTTATTTTCTTCTCATTTCTCATTCTTTTAATCATTTCATTATAATAATTGGTTGAATTATAATCATTCTCTCTGTTTCATAATAAACGAGCTGACTCCAACTCATAGAATAATGCTCAAGTTCAAACTCGATTAATTAATCTAACACAGTTTCAAACTAGTGATAACTCGAATTCAACTCGACTCGTTTACTCCCCACGTTGTAGCAGTTGTTTATGTAAAGTAATTTGAGCATATGGCTCTTACTTCAACTACGAAAAAACTATAGAAAATAATGAAAACAGAACTTCCACAATGGAACATTATGGAAGTCAAAACTCAATATAATATGGAATTAACCTTAATTAGGTCATGGAGGTTAAACCATACGAGGAAGGTGAGTTATTATTAATACAAAAAAAAATAATGATAATAATAATAATAATAAGGAAAAAGATAAAAAATTATATAAACTGTAATTTCTTTTTTTTAATGTCATTAAAACTTTGTTTCATTAAGTAAAAGATATAGGATTTTTTTTTTTTTGGGAAAAATTAAAGGCTTAGCCCATTCTATTAAAAGAAGAAGGATTACAAAATTGAATCAAAAAAGAACTTAGCCAACAAAAAAAGGCTATGATGAAAGAGTAAAAAGCATAGTTACAACAAAGAAGAGAAGATCCAAAAACATACAGAAATCCTGTCTAGCTGTGACTCAGAACGAGCGTATACGATTATAGGAAAAATCCATTCCTCCTTTGGTTGCCCAAAGACCTGTGCAGGCGTCATCAACGTCCACGACCCAAAAAAAACCTGCCAAAAATTTTAGCCACGGCTGCAGCAATCGAGTTAAAATATAGCTTGACAAAGCATACCAACTAGCAAAAGTGCTGCCAATTAAAATGAACAATCCGGCTAACAGCAGGTCGGGCAACATGGGCATGCCGCCATCAAACCTCATAATGATTATCACTAGGCCTCGTGAATAGCCGAAAAAAACCCTAGCAGTGAGGGGATAACAAAACCCGAGGTCCAGCCAGACCAAAAACATGTTCTAAGCGAACAGACATAAGACAACTAGAAAGTGAGAGCCCAAGAAAAATCTGAGTGGCAGCTTGGCATGTTTGCTTTGAGAATTAGGTAATTTATCACTCATCTTATTTCTATCTCGATTGTATTTCTTCGATTTTTTGTCAGTGGTTAAATGGCCTCATATTTATACATAATCTTTTGATCATTAAGCATTTTAATTTTTTAAAAATTATTTATATACATAGTTTAAGAAAAAAATAATTTTTTTATCTTTAATTTTATGCATTAAAATTTTCACACTAATAAACTTCAATTTAATAAGATAATTACAATTAAAAAATTTAAGTAAAATCTTACTATGATTATGAAATAAATTGAATCATGATTAATCTTTAAATTTATTTTTGATATAAACTTAATACATTAATAATCAATTACCTTTATATTAATACACACTCCATTAAGCAAATCTTAAAATTCATTTGATCAAATTTTGATCAGACGTTCTTACCTAATTTTTATCATTATATTTATATATAACTTAAATTTTAAAAGAATTTCATAGAAATTTTTTTTTGAAAATTCAATTAGAATGAGTTTTGAATTAACAAATATCCTTTTTATATATAAATATAATAATTTTTACGTATTATATTTTAATACCAGAATATTCTAACTCAAAATTTTTTCTATTTATTCTTCATTCTTATTATTTTTTATTTTTTTATATGAGAAGAAATGTTCAAACTGTTATGAAAATTATTCTTGAACTGTTATGAAAATTAACTATAAAAATTCATGAGAATAATCCTATCTTCTTCTTCTTCCAAAACGTCTGAAGTCTTCATCTCTCTCTCCCTCTTCCTCCGTATATATAGTACAGCTTCCAGCCTTTTACTGAGAAGTCTGAAGTATTTGTACTCTGCTTCATGCATTGATAGCTTCCATACCTGTCGAGCTCAGATTTAGGCTTCTGATCTAACCCTAATAGAAGCAAAAGCAAGAGATGCTACGTACAGGTAGGCATGTGGCCCTTTCAGTAGTCTGACTCCCCCCATTATAACGAATTAATGTTCAGTAGAAAAAAATCCTCCAAATAATCGTGTTGGTTTTTCTTTTCCTCCAAATTATGAAAATGTATAAGATAAATAAATCTATAGCTAGCTAGCTTTGATCGATGATAGCTTAAAAATTAACTTTCAGCTATGTTTTACAATTTTAATCATAACTTTAATTCAACATGGTGATGTTACTGATTTGCTGATGATTGGAATTCTGATTTGCTGATGATTGGAATTCTGATTTGCTGAATATTGGTTTTAATACTTGTGTTTACCCATGGACTCCGATTCATATGATAGGAATACTGTTTTGCTGAATATTTTGGGTTATGTGAGTTTTTATCACCTAGTTGCTGTTAATTTGGCAATGTATTCCTAGGAGTTTTGGGGATTTTTAGTTGTTCTTGTTCTGGGTTGCTGCTGCTGCCTCTCTTCTTGGATGAGGCGTATTAAATGGGATTGGAATTGGGATTGCAGGGACTTTACTTTCCTTTTTTATGGCATTTTGGGTGTTAAGAATCAGGTGTTAGCTAGCACTAATGTCTTTTCGAATGATGGTTTAAGTTCTTGCTGTTATCTGGTGGTGGTTCCTGTTATTAATGTTGATGTGTATCTCTGTTTTGATATTACTGGTGCTGGTACTAGCCATAAAAGCTATCCTCCTACTAATGATTTCAATCTTAAGGCTTTTATTTTTCTTTCCCCTAATATCTGGACTAGTGCTGACTGCTGACCCGAGAATCAATTTTTGCTTTTGGAATACTAAAAAATTTGATTATTGCAGCAGCTTCTTTGGTTCTTCTGATCAGATTGAGGATACCAACTGGCTTGGATACATCAACAACTGTATCCTTGTTTGTTTAAATTTAATTGCTTGTTCCTTGCACTTTCCTAGTTTGTTTTGTAGTATGTTGCTTTTGCAGGTCGTTTTGCCTGAGGTTCTAGAGTGTAGTAGTCCTTTTGTTGGAAGGAGTTGGAAGTTTATCATATTTCTTTCTTTTTTGGATCCTGACTCTTTCAGGCTTAGAATGTTTTTATGTTTATTTGCATTTTGTAGAACTGAGAATCACGTTTTATTTTGATTTATTTTGTAGCTCTTCTGAGCAGTAGTGAGCTGAAGGTTCTCTTTAAGGACCTTATAATTTTTTGCTTAATTAACACTTAGGCCCCTGTTCGAGTTTCAACTAAAAAAAAAAGAAAAACATGGTGATGTTACTGTCAAAATGTCTACAATATTTATATTATTATATACAAAAATTATACAATACAAACTCGATAAATCATGAAAAAATTTATATTTTTTATCAATTTATGAGAAATAAATTGTTGAAATTCAAAATGAGATTTGAGTTACTTATAATGAATAGACAAATTCTTTGAATATAATTGATGGACAAAAAAACCCTGAATAACCTTCTCTATCTCCTCCCACTTTCTTTTACTTTGGAAAGACATGACACTGAATTCAAAATTTTCATTTTTTTTAAAAAATTATTTTAAAATTTTGAGTTTTTACATTTATCTACTTATTGATTTCTTATCATATATTGGTATCATTATGCACGCATGTTAGATTCATTTAATTTTTAATGCAATACAACACATTCATAAACATATGGGATAGGGTTGTAAACAAATCAAGCCAAGTCAAATAGGTGCTTGTTTATGTTTGAGCTCATTTATTATTAGCTTGTTCAAGTTTGGTTTGAGATCGATTCGAGAAAACAAGTTTGATTCCTTTAATTAAAAATAGATGTGTTTTTTTAGTTTGTGTTTAATTCATTTTGTGCTTATCAAGCTTTAAAAAATGAATTTTATCGAGCTATTTAAGACCTTTACTTTCTAGATATTCATTAGCTTAACAAACAAACCTCATCAACCCTACTAACAAAATTACATCTAGCCTACTGAACATATATAATGAGTGTTTTTTATATCAAAAACGCCCCTTCATAAGCCATAAAAATGAACAAATAACTCTTAAGAAAATATATCAAATTAAAATTTATAACAAGACTTAATCGATTATTAACAAGCTTATTTACAAGCTCTAAAATAAATATTAATCAAGCTTCTTCTTTTTTTTTAAGTTAAAATTCATAGAGGGGCCTACGAGTTAATATCCGAAAAAAAAATTCCTTAAAAAGGTTCAAATGCTCCCTAATACTCAACAAGTTACAATGAAAAAGCCAAACAATCCTAATGAGCCGATGAACCCTACTACTAACAATATATCACCGGGGGTGAGGAGCCAGCACCCAAACAAGTTCCACCTAGTTCCAAGCTTAAAGCTCACATTGCACATATTGGTAAACCTGCAAAAAGGATTATAGCAATAAAAAAAAAACAAATTAAAGGACAGATATCAAATCGGGTCAACGGGTCGGGTTCGGGTCGAACCCGGAATTGACCCGGCACTATTCGGGTCAACCCGAACCCGACCCGTTTTTAAAAATGGTGGGAGGTTTCTGGACCCGAGCCCGACCCGATTCGGGTCCGGGTCAACCCAACCCGACACGAAAGCCCAGGGTTGACCCAAAATTGCTAATTTTCGGGTCAAAATCAGGCCAATCTCGGGTTTTCGGGTAAAAACTGAGGTTTCGTGTTACTTTGGGGTCAATTTCTGATTTTTAAAATGGGTTGATTTGCTGAACCCGAACCCGACCCGTTTCGGGTTCGGGTTCGGGTCTTGTTTCAGGTCGTGTCAAAAATTGACACCCCTAGTTGGAGCCATGCTAGATAAACCATCTGCAGAAAATAGAGCCATAGAGGAATACAAAAATATAGATATACAAACATAACATTTTATGTGCTTTATCGAATCGGCCAAACGAGCATTTCTCCAAAATATTAAAAACCCAAATAAAACTGATAGAGAAGGAATTGTAGCTAAACATAGAACTATCAACAATGGCAATAAAGGACATACAAAATATAGCAGAACATAGCACTAATATCCTCTACTACCAAATGAAAAACCAGCCAATCATCCACAGATCAACCAAGAAACACCCCATAAAAATGAAGATCAAAACCACAGACCAGACTATTAATACATGAACAAACCAACAAGGCAAAAATCCCCAATCGAGCAGCAAAACAATCCCCAAAATCAAAACCCCTAAATAAAGCCACCAGAAACAAAAGAAACAAAGAAATCAGCTGGTCCTTAAACAAGGCAAACTAGAACGATCAAGATGAGTTAACCCTTTCAACATATGAGGCAGGTTAGGCCTAGCAAACTCAGATATGCCCAGCAGCTTGCACCCAAATGTAGCAAGCCAATCAGCACACATATTGCCTTAACCAAATATATAAGAAATAAGAAAATTAATCAGGGCAAGGCACTGCTTCATTTCACTAATCAAATAAAAATTCTTAGCATTGTGTTCCATACTATTCTTAAGAAAATGAATCAGATGCATAATATCAACCTCAATCGAAACATTATTAATGCCTAAGGAAAGACAGGGATGAATACCATAATTAAGAGCTTAAAGCTCAGCCATAATAGCTAAAGAATCCAACAAGGGACAATCACATTTCCCTCATGATCCCTAATTAGACCACCACAGCCAGCAGCAGAGTCATCAAAAGACTCATCAGCATTTAACTTAAACCAACACTGAATAGGTTTAAACCATATAACAGTCATCTCCTTAATAGACTTAGAACAGTGCTGAAGAGAGATACCAAAACCAGCAGCCACATGATTGTAACCTTTAAACAAGTCAACATTGATTAAATTAACAGCCACACAATTATTAACGAGCTTCTTATGGAGCTTTTTTACTAGATTTAGGCTTCATTTGGGATGGATTTTTTACTGCTTTCTAAAGCAATATTTTAGTACAAAAACTTGTTAAACTAAAAAAATTTTGTGCTAGAAAGCCACTTCAGAAAACAGTAAGAAGGTTATCCCAAAAGAAATCTTGATTGACATCATTCATGAACATAAACAAGCTGAATACATAATTGTTCAAGATTGTTTATTTAATAGTCTAGTATTTTAAAAATTGTTCAAATTTGTTTGATTACTTAAACAAACGATCATAAACGAGTTGTAATCAAGCTGAGCCATGAGTAATTTGTCGAATGCTTAGTTCATTTGCAACTCTAATGGCCATGTTTGTATTGTCACTAATAGTTATAAGCATAAGTTTGAATTATCAACCAATTAGAAAAAAATAATTATTATTATAAGCATATCAAAGAGTATATACAACTAACTAATGATTTCTAAAACAAGTATGCTATATTTTTTATTAGCACGATAATGTTATCTACATAAGCTGCAGCTAAACGAAGACAAACAAATGCAAACAATACTAAAATAATCATAAAAACAAGAAAAAACGATATGGATTATCATAGTGAGCAAAAAAGAGAAAAAAAACAAGGACGTGTTTTGGTAAAATCAATCAACCAAAGAAAAACAGTCGGAAAATTTGAACAGAACTTTAAAGGATAAAAATAGTAGGTCATCCCAGTCTCCCAGATACAGATAGCAAAAAAACTTCTAGCTTTGAGATAGATGTATTTAGCACCAATATTATTGCATCTGGAAAGCTAAGCGCTCTGTACTTCTCGTCAGGTGATCAAGCTCAAATGCCCGCAATCAATCCAAAAACAACAATATCAATAATGAAAATTGATACGTCATCAATAAATTATCTTGATCGGGCACGCATCTCGAGGCAAAATCAAGTTGGACACTTCCGAAATTTACCATCCGAACTCCAATTTCAGCAAACTTATAGTCGAACTGAACGTCTCGAAAATACGAACCTAACGACACCAAATTCGACTCAATCTGAGCCCAAATGTGTCCAAATCAGGGATCCGAAGCGCTGTTGGAAGGTTCGAACCACAATTTAAGTTACCAAACAATTTTCAAACATGACGTGCTTATAATCAAATCGAGCGACTCGACGAGACGAATCCAAAGAGCCCAAGATCACCGAATTCCGATATCATTAAGACCTTCAAATGTATGACAAACGGTTCATTATCAAGGGATTCAATATCGGCCATCCATCCAACCACTCCGCATAACCATAATCTCTCCCATATTTACGGGCCAAGCCACTCCAGAAATCTATAAATAGGCTCCTCCTTTCTCTTGAAGGAGGAGGCTTGAAGCAAGAGAGAAAGAGAGAGATCGGAGATCGCTTTTGCCTCTTCGCTCCTCCTCGACCACCGTCAAAATTCCGCCAGAACACCGCCTGACGTCATTACTCCGTCGGACCACCACATGAGGCCCGGACTTCTGCCGGACCACCACCTGACGCCCGGACTTCTGCCGGACCATCACCTGAGGCCCGGTCTTCCGCCGTACCACCGACTAACGTCATTGCTTCGTCGGACGACTGCCTGACATCGTTGCTCCGCCGGACCATCACTTGAGGCCCGAAATTCTGCCAGACCATCACTTGAGGTCCGGACTTCTGCCGGACCACTGCCTGACGTCATTGCTCTGCCGGACCACCACTTGAGGCCCTCACCTCCGCTGGAGCACCACTTGAGGCCCGGACTTCTGCTGAACCATCACCTGAGGTCCGGACTTCCGCCGTACCATCGCCTGACATCGTTGCTCTGCCGGACCACCACTTGAGGCCCTCACCTCCACCAGACCATCACTTGAGGCTCGAACTTCTTCTGGACCACCACCTGACGCTCGGACTTCTGTCGGACCACTACTTGAGGCCCTCACCTCCACCGGACCATCACTTGAGGCCCGGACTTTTGTCGGACCACCACTTGATGCCCAGACTTTTGCCATACCACCACCTGAGGCACGGACTTCTGTTGGGCCAACATCTGATGCCTAGAGTTCTACCAAAATACAACCCTACCACAACGGTTTTTCTGACCCCGATCTCCGGCCAACTATGGTCTTTTGGACCCATGTCTCTTGCTGACTATGGTCCTTCTGGCCTCCGTCGGCTACTACAGTCCTTCCGACCTACATCGCCAGAAAATAGTCTTTCTGATCTAGGTCTCCTGCATACTCTGGTCCTTCCGACCTACACCGCCGAACAATGGTCTTTTTGACCCCGGTCTCCTGCCTACTACGGTCTTTCCGACCTCTATCCTATTAACCATGGTCTTGCCGACCAAGCAAACATGTATATCTTGATTATTGTAAATCCCACCATGTAATGCGTTCTATATGATGTACATTTGTGACATCAAACTATTGTCTTCTCCCAAGGAAGGGCCTCATTTGTAATCGACTACAAATACTAGTGGATCCATTCAAACTGGGTCAGACCTTGTAGTTTTTCCTTCTTTTTCAGGGGTTTCCACGTAAAAATTTTTGTGTCTCTTATAAACACTACACCATCTCTCTTATCTGATTGCATGTTGGATCTTTGTGCAATGCTAAGATGCTACACTATATATTTCTCTAGCGTCGCGACTACTCCAGGACGCAACAAAAAAAAATAAATCAAACCCCACCATATAGGCCTTCATGATTTCCATATAGTTTTGACCCTAAAGGCCTTCATTTCTCTTGCAGGGATTAAGATATCACTTGCTAGATACCTAGCAATCCCAACTTGGATATACACCGGATGCCTATCATTGATGGCAACCTACTAACTACAAGGATATTGCAAGCATGTGGGAAAAAAATATTGATCTGTATGTACTTAACCCCGATTGTCTATGATCAAAGGTCTAGGCTTTATAAAGAACTTATGACCTAACCGATTTCAAAATTTTCGACACCTAAACTAATTCTAGATGGGCAACCGACACCAGTAAAACAATCAAATTTGCTAATAAGTACAATCGCAGTCATCTGGGGCAGCTGGAAGTCAGGTCAGTAAAGAAAGTTGGACCAAAGAGGTTTACCAAAATCTCGCGGATTGCAGGAGAAACTGAACGGTAGGACTCTGACGGAAGGACTCTGGCGGTGCGACTCGGTAGCAGCGGGACTCGCTGGCGATGGCGATGGCGATGGCGATGGGAGCTGTAGTCACCGACGGGCAGATGAACCTCGGGGTTGATCGGACTGAGAAGAGAGAAAAGAGGGCGAGAGAGAAGACGATGAAAGACCTCGAAGGATCGCACACGCGAGCCGGATGGATTGCTATAAGAAATTAGGGCTCTGAGCTGCGGTTTATTAAAGTCTACTGCGACAATTAAAACTAGTATCTGTTTAAAATTGTGACCGTTGGAAGTTGTTCATCCTGCTTCTATTATCACCAGTTTTAACCACTGCAGGAAAGGATCTATAGCAGCAATTTTTAAATTGCTGCGAAAAGATCCCATTTCTTGTAGCGATTCATTCTAGCAAGTAGCTAACAACTATCATTATTGTTGAGCACTGCCAACACCACTAACCATCATCATGCCCATTATTGTTCATTGCCCTCACCGGCTAGAAATCTCTGTCACAATCGCCTACTGCAACCACCACCCCGATAAGGGCCATCATGTTAGTCGCCATTATCTGTCATTGTTGCCACTGTGCTGGTGTCGTCGCCGTCTTCACCACCACCACTATTGCTTCCCCACCTAGCCTATAGTCGTTAACTCGGCCCTACCATCGTGACCACTATACAAATTGACTTATGTGAAATTTAATAAAAAAATCAACTCGTATTTATGTTTATATTTGCTAATATATATTTTATTTAAATGAAATAAATTATGATTGGTATCTCAAAAATAGGCTCCTTATATTTTTATTGAATGTTGTGCAAGTTATTAATGTCATGTTAGCAGCAATCGAGGGTTTGGAGGTAATGAAGGTTATCAGTGAGTCAATGCCACCGAATGAATGAGTATGGCAGCTAGGGTTGTATTCTAGTCAAGTTGAGCGGAGCCAAACTAATAATCATGGATTGGACTTGATTTTGTCAGATTGAGGCGTCCTTTGGGACATATTTTGTACTACTTTCTAAAACGATTTTCTAGTATAAAATTTTCTAATTCAAGAAATTGTTGTACTATGAAGTTGTTTTAGGAAGTAACAAAAATTTTTCTCAAACGAAATCTAAAAGTTACTCACGTTCAGTTTAAGCTAAAGCTCAGCTTTGGCATATGTGTGCTCATATTGACTTCTTTAAAGTTTCTCTAATATACATATTTCATAAATTTCTTACTTAGATTAATCAAACAAGTACTTACACAAGCTAATAAATAAGCATAAAATTTGAATATGCACTAAATTTTTAATATTAACAAATAATATAACTAGTCTAAATGAACAAATAATTCAATAAATATAAAATTTGAATCAAAGTATTTGATACTTATTAAACAAGAGAAGAAATAAATCATTGAAGCTTTTTCAATAGACATATAAAGAATTACCAACAATGTTCTTTAGATTAGAACTATACTATCATTTAATATATATTTAGTTCATTTTTAGATTCACGAACTGATATAAATATAATTTTCATGATATAAAAAGGGACTCTAAAATAATAAAATTAGCCAACATGTCTAAAGACATATATAAATTTGCTTAACTAGTTACTTAGAATGAAATGTAATGAATTCATTTAGCCCTTTATTTAATAAGGGGCAAAACTACTTAGTATTGAGCTACATTTTTGGCAATGAGGAAACCATACATTCCTAATAGCTTAGAAGTGTTCAAATACTAAGACGCCACATAAGTTTTAATAAATTACTTCTTGTTAGTACCCGCTAAGATCACATAAAATTATGGGTTCATAATAAGCACACAATACTAAAAAGTCCTTAATTAATGCCAAGAAGACCATCTTAATGGCCTACCTATAATTTCATAATCACTAATATTAGCGATCACATATCATTTATGTTTGGCCTTTAAGGTCTACTTCATGCCTCCCACTTTCACTATGTAGTAAGTATGATAATTTCTTATATAAGTATCCATTAAGTGTATATGAATCAAGCAAAAACATATGTTGAGAGAAAAATATAGTACAAAATCAAGTATGTATAGAAAGCACTAACAATGCATTTCAACCTAAATAAACTTAGAGAATTAATCATATCAATAAAGTAAGATCATAATAGATTAAGAGACTGTCTGCCTAATTGACAACATAGAGGATTAGGTAAGTTTCCAATTGAAATCATTTTCTACTTTCTTCAAAAAATAAACTCCTCTTAGGCTCTCAAAAGCTTTTTCTCATGCACTTAAATTCAATAAACTCCTATAAGAGTTCTCTTAGAGTTTTATAGGTAGTAAAAAATAAATGATTCATAATGATTTTTGACAACTAGCTTCAATCATGACATAGGGTCTGTATGATAAAACTTCTAAGCTAAAATTATATGATCAAAAAAATTTGTTTTCATTTTACTCAAATTGAATCAAGTAAATCTATGAGCAAAACCAAACCAATTCAAATGATATCCAAGATTAGCTCCACTTGAGTTCAACACTGTTTTCCTTCAAGCAAATCTAGTAAGAAGCTGTATTTTTCTTCCTTGTGGACCTTCAATTGCTTCTGTATAGCGAGCTACACTAGGGCACGGCCCCAAAAACATCTAGCCGAATCAACCTTCAACAACGGTATTAAGACTAGGCCCAAATTTAAAAGGATCTTCATGTTGGCCCAATAGTAGATTAATGATTAGTCCCAAAGTTAACTATTTTCATTGCCACTCATTTAGGGGTGTCAATTCGGGTCAACGGGTCGGGTTCAGGTCGAACCCGGAACTGACCCGACACTGTTTGGGTCAACCCGAACACGACCCGTTTTTAAAAATGGGACAGGTTTCCGAACCCGACCCGATTTGGGTCCGGGTCAACCCGACCCGACACGAATGACCCGAAGTTCACCTAAAATTGCTAGTTTTAGTGTCAAAATCGGGTCAAAATGGGTCAATCTCGGGTTTCCGAGTCAAATAAGAGTTTTTGTTTCAATTTCGGGTCATTTTCGGGTTGCTGGGTCAACCCGAACCTGACCCAATTTTTAAAACGGGTTGATTTGTTGAACCCGGACCCGACCCGTTTCGGGTCCGGGTTGACCCTAACCTGAATTTTTCGGCTCGGATTCGGGTCGTGTTTCGGATTGTGTGTCATTGTACTCTGCCTCTGCTGCTTATTTTTATTATTATGATGATCTTTAATATCATGCATGTACTTCTAAATTGCGAGCAGCATTGCAGTGCAAGTGTTCAAGAGTTTCAGCTGTGTAACAAATCCAATAAAGTTCTCTTAATTACGGCCAATATTTGAGTAAGATATGGCAAAAAACTCCATTTGGAGATAGTTGAAATTTGCTGCTTTGCTAAATCCTATTTTTAGATCTGAGATTTAGGTTTTGTTTGGCATGGCTTTCTTACTGGTTTGTTGCTTAGAAGGCAACTACAAGTTTTATTTGACTATTATTTAAGAAAGCAACTTTCTAATACAAAAATTTATGAAGCAACTTTCTAATATAAAAATTTCTTGAATTAAAAATTTTTTTATTAAAAAACTTCTTTAGAAAGTCGTAAGAAAACTATCTCAAACGAAACCTTAGTGTTGGAAGAGAAGAAGAGAGATGATCTCAAGGTTGCTGGCAGTTTCTTTCGTCAGATGAGCGAGGAGGGGAGGATTGGGAGAAAATGATTGCGGCTTCTTGTCGGCATGCATGCGCCAAATATCAGATTGAAAACAAAAGTGGTTATTGGTCTACAAGAAAATTTTTAAGATATTGATTAGTAAAAGTTATTTTGCATCGTAGCTATTAAATTTGATTAAGGCTTCATTTGTGACGGCTTTTTTACCATTCCTTAAAGCAACTTTTTATAATAGGAAGTTGTTTTAAGAAGCAGTAAAAAATCATTAAAATACAACTTTCTTACTTCTTTCTAAACCAACTTTTAATTACAAAAATTTTTTTGAAGTAATAAAAAAATTGTGGTCAAAAGCTGTTCCAAACGAAGACAAAGTTTTGACATTGAAGCCTAGCTTATAAAAGTGGATTTGTGAGTTTGTGATTAAATTTAATCAAAATTAAAAAAATAATAATAAAAATTACATCAATTAATCTATAAATAATGCCTTAAAATTTTTTTAATTTTTTCAATCATTAGTTAATGAATAATGAGTAAAAATAATTTTTATTCTTATCAATAAATATCAAACTATTAACTAAAAAACATTGATACATCATCAATAAATTATCTTGATCGTGCACGAATCTCGATGCAAAATCAAGTTGGAAACTTTTGAAATTAAAATTGGGATCATATGAACTCTCATTTCATCAAACGTATAGTCAAACTGAACGTCTCGAGAATATGAACCCAACGACACCAAATTCAATCCAATTCGAGCCCAAATGGGTCCAAATCAAGGGTTAAAAGCGTTGTTGGAAGTTTTGAACCACAATTTGGATTATCAAATGGTTTCCAAACATAACATGCTTATAGTCGAATCGAGTGGCTCGACGAGACGAATCCAATGAGCCCAAGATCACCAAATTTTGACATCACTAAGGCCTTAAAATGTCCATCAAATGGTCATTGATCAAGGGATTCAACATCGGTCGTCCATCCAATCACTCCCAATTTATCCTTGATCTCTCACTTATTTACGGGTCATGATACTCCATAAATCTATAAATAGACCACTCCTTTCTCTTAAAGGGGGAACCCAAGCCAAAGGATTTAAAGAGAGAGATCGAAGATCGCTCTTGCCTCCTCGCTCATCATCGACCACCACCTGAGTTCTGCCGGGCCATCGTCTGACGTCGTTGCTCCGCCGGATCACCACTTGAGGCCCTCATCCTCACCAGACCACCACTTGAGGCCCTCACCTTCGTTTGATCACCACTTGAGGCACTCAACCTCGCCAAGCCACCACTTGAGTCCCTCACCCTTGTCGGACCACAACTTGAGGCCCTCAGCCTCACTGGATTACCACTTGAGGACATCAACCTCGCCAAGCCACCACTTGAGGTCCTCACCCTCATCGGATCACCACTTGAGGCCCTCACCTTCACCGGACCACCACTTGAGGCTCTCACCCTCACCGGACAACCACTTGATGCCCTCACCTTCGCCGGAGCACCTCTTGAGGCCCTCACCCTCGCTGGACCATCACTTGAGGCCTTTACATTTGCCAGACCATCACTTGAGGCCCTCACCCTCGTCAGACCACCACTGGAGGCCCTCACCTTCCCTGGATCACCACTTGAGGCCTTCAGCC